TATGCTTTAATTATGTTCAATTTGTAACAATGAAAATACATCCTGCATATCAGATATTAAAATTATGATTCATAACAGTAGCGAAATTACAGTTATGAAGTAGCAACGAAAATAATTTTATGGTTGTGGGTCACCACAACATGAGGAACTGTATGAAAGGGTCGCGGCATTAGGACGGTTGAGAACCACTGGTCTAGAATGTTTTTCTCTTGACTTTTGAATACTCTATTTCCTTTCACCCCTCTGGTCTAAGCACAAAAGTCACCACTTCGGAGAAATCTCCCTTGGCCAATCTGTCAAAAGAGGCCCCTTCTCTTGGAGAGACCCCTGCCCCCGCCCACCTCTCTGCCCCTCCGGGGCGGGGCACGGACCTCCCAGCAGCATCTCCTGCAGCAGGTTGTCGATCTTGGCCATGCCGAAGAGCTTGATGAACTGGATCTGCTCAATCATCTGCCAGGTGATGCTCTGCAGGGTGGGCAGCAGCAACAGCAGCTCGCCGAAGCGGCCACGTGAGTCATACTGGCGGTCGTTGATGTAGTCCTCCAGGCTCACCTGCACCTGGGACCGCAGCCTCTTGATCTTACCCGGGTCACTCAAACCTTTAGCATCTGCAACAGGAGGGGGTGGGCAAGGGAGGACAGTGGGGCCCAGTTAGAGCATCTGGGGAGTCAGGACCCAGACTTCCCCTGACTCATGGGGTCCGCATAGGGGGACTCAAGGTCACACAGGGAATCCTCAGCAGTGCTGGGATGAGGATTCAGGGCTCCTGACTCCCAGTTGAGTTCCCACTGTCCAGATCTCAGCACACATTGCCTCTACTGCCTTAGAGCTGTATCTCTGCTCCCTTGCCTGTGTCATCTTAGGGTCTCAGCTTAGGTTTTACCTCCACCAAGAAGCCTTCTCCATTCTACCCTCCCCAAGTCTGCATTATGTGTCCATCATGTTCCCAAATTCCTGTGGCTGTTCCGTTACTACTGACTGCACAGGAGGCAATTGTCTCTTGCACTAGATGTGAGTTCTGGGCAGGAAGGCATAGATATCATTTGTCATTTTAAACCCGCCACCTAGTACCATGCACAGTCAGTATTTGTTGAATAGATGAAAGGATAGGTAGATGGATAGAAGGATAAATGAATGGGAAAAAAAATCAATGGATAAATTCTAGATCTTCATTCTTAAGATGGGGACTCAAGTAGTCGTCCAATGGATAATCTCAGACTTCATGGAGGTAATGCACTTATTTCCTAATGTAAGTGGCAGAAAGAGAATTTCACCCACACATCCAGTCCAGGGTGCTCTCCACTAACCATGTTTGTGCATTCTTTTACTCAGTCAACAAACTCTATTGAACACCACCTACATGCCAGGCCCTATTATAGGTCACCTGCCCCTCCAAGCCAGGTTACTGACCCTGACTCAGCGTCAGTAATCCTGCACACTTTACTGAGCCATTTACTCTGTCTAGCCCTGTGCTGAGTGCTGCAGGGGATATAGCCTGGGCCAGACTCTCAAGGAAACTAGAGGTAGCACTCTTACCCTTTAGAAAATGGGAAATAGCATGTGGTAGGTAAGAACATGGGCTTGAGATCTGAATAGTCTGAAGTTCAAATCCGAGCTCTGCCATTTCCTGGTTGTGTGACCTTGGGCAAATTAATTGACTTCCCTGTGCCTCAGTTTTCTAATCTGTAAAATGGAGATAGTAATTCCCATCTCACAGGTACCATGTTGCAAGTAGTAAATGGGATGATCCACACAGAGTGTTTAGAAGAGTGTCTTAAAGAGCATTCCACAAATGGTGATGATCTCCCTCTTCATTACTACTATTACTAGAAGTGATCTTCATACAGGTGGGGCCTAAGACAGTACCTGTCACACAGTAGGTGTTCTCTGACATGTAAGGAGGAAAGGAAGCAGGCAAACCTTTGGGGGCCCAGGAATCTTGACATTGTAAAGTAAAATCAGGCTTTGCACAGACATAACTACAAATACAGGTGGAAAGTCAGTAAATGGAATGGGGAGAGGAGAGTCAGAGCTGAAGGGAAGGGTGCGGATGCAGTACAGTAGTCCCCACTTATCTGCAGGAGATGCAGTCCAAGGTCCCCAGTGGATGCCTAAAACCACAAACAGAACTGAACCCTTTATATACCATGTTAGAGACTATATTTTTTCCTACACATACATACCAATCATGAAGTTTAATTGATAAATTAGGCACAGTAAGAGATGAATGCCAATAACTAATAAATACTAAAATTGAACACTTACTACAATACATTGTAATAAAAGTTATGTGAATGTGCTCTCTCTCTTTCTATCTCGATATCTTATTAAACTGTACTCATCTTTTCACTTAAAGAAAGTACTTCTAGGGCTTCTCTTTGGAATGTCCAAATTGCCAGCATCACTACTCTTGCACTTTAGGGGCATTATTTCGTAAAATAGGATGACTTGACCACAAGGACTGCAATACAGGGACAGTGGATCTGATAACCGTGTTGGTTACCAAGTGACTAATAGGCAGATAGCATATGCGGAGTGAATACGCTGGAAAAGGGGATGATTCACATCCCAGGTGGGACGGAGCAGGAGGGTGCAAGATTTCATCACACTACTCAGAACATCGTGCAATTGTAAACTTATGAATTGTTTATTCCTGGAATTTGACCACAGGTAACTGAAACCACAGAAAACAAAATTATGGATAAGGGGGACTACATGCTACATGAAGGGTTAGAAAATACTCTCCACAGTTGATAGGACAAGAAATAAAGGCATAAGCACATAACAAACATTATAAAGGTGACCAATAGAGACACTAAAATAGCCAGAAAAATATATTAAGAGGATGGAGGAGAATAGGAATGGTGATAAAAGAAGTGAAACCCTCCGCTAGCCTAGGAGGAAAAATACGACCTAAAAAAGATAAAGCAAGAGAGAGCAGGCTTAGCATTTTATTTTGAGCTCGAGGTAATGGCCAGAAGAAATGATAACGAATCAGAAATGGTTCTGAGGAGTAGGCTTTAGCAGGAAAAGTGGAGTAGAGAGGAATATTCGCATTTTAAGTATGTGCACATATTATTTTGCTGGGAGTAAGGGTACACCCAATGTAGCTTCCCCATCCCCTTTTGAGGAAAAGAAGATAAAAGGAAAGAAAAGAAGGAAGACAGGATGAAAGAG